AAACATGTACAGTAGACTCAATTATCCATTCTAATTATGGGGAGGATGGCCACGAATATTTCTTAATTCCGGATAATCCAAAAATATCCATTTTCCACAGATCTCTATGCCAAAAACCACTTAAAAGTTAATGATATTGTCCTAATGATGTAGATGCTATTGTCCTAATGATGTAGATGCTTACCCCGAGCCCTCATTACTTTGATAGTGCATTGTCTTTGAGCTGTGTGACGCCTTCTGGCGTCATCTGGTCGAGCACCAATTGGGTCGAGGCTCAAAAGAAAGCCGTCCCTAGGTGTGGACCAATCAGTTTCAAGGACAATGCATATATTATCATAGTATGTTTTTTGTTTGCATTTTGACTGCAGGTATTGTGGTTAATGCAGACATGAATCATTGTAAAAAGGTTTCGGTTTTGTTGCCAGAAAAAAGGGGAAAAACCCTATTATTACATTTTGGTACTGGCAAAGGAGGCCTAATGATGATGATATTGTCCTTATTACTTTTTATGTTGCGGACAGTTGTTTCACCAATGCTTTAACTTGCAGCAAGATGTTTTATGGAACTGCCATCTTCCAATTTTTGTATACTATCCAGTTTCTGATTGAAAGTTCACACAATATGCTTTCGTTTCTCTGGCAGAATGAAGCACAACTTACGATTTCCATTATTACTCTTTAAATTTAGAACTAATACGATCGACCGATCAATGCGCGTGCGCAGCGATAACACTTTACTGCTTCCATGAAGAAGACTCTGCCCCCTAAGTATACAGCAGAGCCACGGCAATCAAAATCAAACTACACCCACTCTTGTAAAGATATGCAACTACTGTACTGTAGCGGCGATCACGTGGATTTCGTATTAACGGGAGCACATATTTGTTCGGTTTAAGCACGTGACTTGTAATAAACATTTCTAAGAATAACAATGTACAACTGTTTTTAGATTATTAATTTGGGCTTAAAGGAAAATGCTTCAGTTTTTAATTCATGTTAATCTCAGGTGTGTGGTTAATCCGCAAATCGGATGAACTGCACGCGGATAATCGAGAGTACTGTATTAAAAATGTCACATCTTGATTACTGCTCAAACACATTAAAATGTCATAGCTCGATCAATGCTCGAACACAGACACGTATTAAGAATGTACCTCAATTACGGCTCAATCCCATAGACACGTATTCAACATTTCATAGGTCGATCAGTGCTCGATCAGTACTCGATCAGACCTCAATTGGCCATTTTCAAGATTTTCCAATGTTAATATTATTGTTTGTTGATTAAATATCCTCACGTTTGTACTTTTTCTGTTTGTCATATGTTTTTTACATCCTAAAAATAATAAAAAGTTTAATATCGATTGTAGTGATTGGTGTGTAGAGTTGAGTGTTTTAGTTGGTGATCGGCATGGTTGCTTGATAAATGGTGTGGTTATCAATTGGTTTCATTCCTTTTTCTTGTTGCTGCTCCAAACTGGAGGTCGACATCAGATGTACGGTCGTCTCAGGGATAACATTGCAGTTTACTTTGCTACGATATGGAAAGTAATCACTCACTGACAAGCAACTCCGCTTAGTCATGATCCTCAACAGACCATTAACCATATGAACCTTATTGCGGTTCCCCGGGGTATCATAGTACCCCGGCTCTCGCATAATGTCCGTGGAGCAGTCATTTTTAGTCTGTTGTTGGTCGGCGATGTGGCGATCGACTCGTCTCGACGAGCTGTACACGATGCACCATGGTGCATACGAGCGTTCAGGGTTTCAGTGCAATCGTCCTCGCTGTGTTTCGACATCGTGGAGTAGCACTGTTTTCGGATTAATTGGTAACCCAGTCGCGGAGTTAAGTACACCCCTGGAAAAAAGTGTTCCAGAAATAAAATATTTAATTGCCTCGCCCATTTTTGTATTATTTGGTACCCCGGGGTTCCGCCATAAGGATCATATAATGGTGACACCTTCTCACAAAGAAGTAAGTTCAGACATTTTATTCACAAAATCTCCTCTAGCTGTTATCCCAGTGTCCTAAGTCATATCTAATCGGTGCATTGTGCTCAGCAATGCTGAGCTTGTCTTCATGATTTCACAAGTTAGGCTTATGCTATCTGTGCAATTGCAATATCAGTCTTTTTTAGTTTCGAGCCACGTGACTTATGGCAAATTATGAATACATTATTGCCACATGTAAGAAAACGAATATACATTTGCTGCATCGAGCCAAGTGAATGCTTGGCCAAGTCATAGCTTCAGCAAAACTTGGAAATAATTTGCAAATGGGTCATTCTGTTGGAAGCGGAGAGTTTATTGAAATCCAATCAAGTACATTTCACCTTTTAAGTAGTACAGGCAAGTCAGTTCATCAGGAATATAATAAATCACAAAACTGCTGTCTATTGCTTTCAGAATTGTAAGGTTGTAGATTTTCAACGTATACGTAGATGTGTTCATTCAAATGCTGATTCCTCAAGGATACGTACCACAAAGCCCTTAATTTGACATGCTCATGAAATATGTATTAGGTGCGCAACAGTGCATCTTACTGCCTACTAAACTGCAGGCTCTTTAGTGTACAAGTAAAAAAACCATATGAGCTTACCTAAAGTGCACTGAATTGATACGTTCTTGTATATCATGATCATGGTATTAAAACCTATCACAAATGCCCTATGGTCAGGGCAGTTCAAAGGGGGGTGAAAGATCCAGGGGAAATCCCACTGTGGGTCCCCCGACGCTTTAAAAGCTAAACCTGAAGTATTACATCTGACACCCGTGACATCGAAGCGCAGACCTTGGGCGGTCGCCCAAATTTGCTGTACCCTCGTGACGGATTTGCCTATGCATTGAATTACATTTTCATGTTTTTGTTTGTCCCATGGTCAAGAAAAATTATGGATTGGCAGCCAAGCAGGATCGTGATAAGACACCAGTTTGGGGAAGGGCTTCATCCAGCAGTAGATTAAAAATGGCTGGTGATGGTGAATGTCCATACTAATTTGTTGGAAGAAATGGGTGGTTACAGGAATGCACGTTGAGATGCTGAACTGCCTTCCTCACAGAAACCTGTTAACACATGCCCTCTGGTGGCACGTAAGCGCATATAGCCGCAATCTCAGCTACCACCATCCTTGGACGAAGGTGGCCTTTCAAAAGGTAGCACTGTAAAGCAGCATGGTGGATGTGTACTGTATCATCATACTATTAAACGTCATATTTTGTCTCAGTTGATGCACATTACCAGTTAGGAATGTTCATGAACGGGGCAGGTTGTATTTATACTTCCAGAGGTCCTGCAGTGGTGGGGGGAAATTTTCCATAATCCCATAGCAATAAATACGCCTAATTATGCCATACTGAAGTGCAGTTTTGCTTTACTGTTACGAAATTATTGGCCATGCCATTTTGTTTGCAATGAAATATGTAATTCTGATTAATGCATGATAATACACTGAAATGTATTACATTAACTGATTAAAAAAAATCATTCTTTCGGTAAAGTCACGTAGATAGTTTATTCCTGCAGTCACAAAAGCTTTAAGTCATGATAAAAAAAAAATCCTTAATGTATTTAACATTAACATCAAGGAGCTTGATCTGGCACCGCTAAGATCCTGGGTTCAAACTCAGGTAGTCACCTGGGATTCAACGGGGTCCTCAAGTGTAGCGAGTTCATGGTCTCATCCCAGTCACCAATGACTGCAAATAAAACCATTAAAATGAATTTGCTTCTGCACTTAACTTGGATGAATTCCACCTTTGAGAATTAAAATACAGGGTGTTTAAAAAGATGGACCCGATTGCAAAGCAGTATATTTCACGATGGCAACATGTTACAATTACACAAAAAGTTACGAACGGTTTAATGAATTATCAAGTTTTACTAACCATTTTATAAATGCTCTCTGTGCCCTCCACCTGCTGTACGGACAGCATCGAGACGATAGTTGAATTCGTCCCAAACGCCTCTCTTCTCACGTTTTCCTCTGAGATGCGTGGTCGCCCTGTGCTCTTCCCCTTACATAAACAGGAGCCTGTTTCCCAAAATTGTCGGTACCAATGATGAATGATCTTTGACATTGGCGGATCAATGCCAAAACGCCGTTAAAACGCACGCTGCACCGCAATTACGGATTCAGTCTTGCTGAACTGCAGAACCCAAAACGCCCCTTGTGTTGCGGGGGCACCGTCTTGCGAATGACTGAGACTAGGGGTTGTTTGTGCGCTGGGGTCACCATCTAGAGAGTGACTGAGGCTAGGGGGCTGTTTGTGTGCTGGTGTCACCATCTAGAGAGTGACTGAGACTAGGGGCTGTTTGTGTGCTGGGGTCACCATCTAGAGAATGACTGAGGCTAGGGGGCTGTTTGTGCGCTGGGGTCACCATCTAGAGAATGACTGAGGCTAGGGGCTGTTTGTTCACTGGGGTCACCATCTAGATAATGACTGAGGCTAGGGGCTGTTTGTGTTGTGGTGTCACCATCTAGAGAATGACTGAGGCTAGGGGCTGTTTGTGTGCTGGGGTCACCATCTAGAGAATGACTGAGGCTAGGGGCTGTTTGTGTGCTGGGGGTCACCATCTAGAGAATGACTGAGGCTAGGGGCTGTTTGTGTGCTGGAGGTCACCATCTAGAGAATGACTGAGGCTAGGGGCTGTTTGTATGCTGGGGGTCACCATCTAGAGAATGACTGAGGCTAGGGGCTGTTTGTGTGCTGGGGTCACCATCTATAGAATGACTGAGGCTAGGGGCTGTTTGTGAGCTGGGGTCACCATCTAGAGAATGACTGAGGCTAGGAGTTGTTTGTGTGCCGGGGTCACCATCTAGAGAGTGACTGAGGCTAGGGGTTGTTTGTGTGCCGGGGTCACCATCTAGAGAATGACTGAGGCTAGGGGCTGTTTGTTTGCCGGGGTCACCATCTAGAGAATCACTGAGGCTAGGGGCTGTTTGTGCGCTGGGGTCACCATCTAGAGAATGACTGAGGCTAGGGGCTGTTTGTGTGCTGGGAGAGGCATCTAGCGGTAATCATTTGAAACTCTATGCCCCGCCCTCTGTATGCCCCGCCCTCTGCATGCCCCGCCCTCTGTATGCCACGCCCTTTCAAGTGGTAAGAGTTTAATTCATGGGCGGTTCGTGGTTCCAGAGATATAGCGATTTCAAATCGGGTCCATAATTTTCAAACACCCTGTATATGTTTGACTGTTACGTGACAAACTATGCGGAGCGGGTGAGAAAGTGCTGCCCTCTGCTGTGTAAGCCAGAGGAGTGAGGTATGAGTGAACTCTCCCTTGCAATTTTGTGTTACAAAAAAACAGAGCTTATAGCACACATCCAAAGTATATATGCGCGAACCCTATTGTGCATGCATTAACTGCATTTCACAGACGTAAGTTATTTGCTTGTGTAAAGCACTGAGAGGAAAACAAACCTTTAAAAGGCACAAGACCAGCACAGAATTGCTGACTGAGGGTTCTGGTTGCAATAGTTATTTTGATTGATGGATAGGGTTGGTGGTGTAGTTTTTTGTGACTGTTGTTGGAGATTATTGCTGATAGTGTCATAAAAAATGTTTATTTGCTGATGCTGTCAACACTGCTTCTGTTTATGTCCAATGAAGGGTCATTGTCCGAAACGTCGGCGATTGTTTGGTGAGTGTGTTGAGTTTTTGTTGTATCATCATGCATGGCTGTGGTAAATGGTTGTAATTGGTGTTTGCGGTTGGTAGCTGTTCAGGAGGTTTTCCCCTGAACGCCAGTGATGTCAAACTGCTGCCAGCTGCTGGAGAATCTCGTCCATAATTCCAGCCAGGAGCTCGCTCTCTTCCAGAGGCATTACGCGACTCTCCGTAAGACCTGCACTCACCACGGAGCAGACATCCACTATTGTAGGTACCATGTGACTGTGAGTCGCCATTCTAACAACCAGGGGATTAACAAAGCGGGCATTTAGGGCAGATTGAGAGTTCTCCTGCTGGTTAGGAGCATCAGAAGCAAGATCATGGGTTGACTTAGGAAACTTTCAGCAATCCTCAAATGCACTGGTTCCAAAGGTACAGTATTTTGTGTGTGTGTTTTTTTTTATAAATTAGTAGAAGGCTAATGAAGCAAACCAAATTGTGATACAAGACAGAACCAACCTGAAGCAATATAACTAGATGGAAGGTGAATGACACAATCTCTCGGAAATGTTTTTTTCTACAGCACATATTCGCCAATTCTGTTACAACTTTAGTGTGAATGTGACATGGACTGGGTCATACAATGCATGCCCTTCAGTGATTCCTATTTTAATAGAGGAATCACATACTAATGAACTGATTACTAATCTATTATATAATTACAATAACCCCCCCTCCGCCTCTGATTTCTGCACCTAATTGGGTTCAGTGATTGGATTCAGTTAAGTAATACATATTACAATTCCTTATAGAGGAATCAGATTAATGAACTGATTAATCTATTATATAATTACAATACCCCCCCCCCCCTCATCCACCTCTGATATCTGCGCCTGATGGGGTTCAGTGATGACGTCGTCCTGCTGCTCTATTGAAGACCGGAAGCAGGTGGATGGCTTCACTATTCTGGTAAGTCGCCCCATGATGCTGGATGTAATTACCAGCAAAATGTTGTACTCAGATTGTAAATGTTGTGGATTCACTCTTCAACACACCGGTGGGCTGAAGTAGTAACTATTTGGCGTTTTGTTTATGTAACAACTCCCTTACTGATTGTCCGTGTCAGGTGGTGGAAGGTTTCGCCACATTTATACTTAGGCGATTTAACCCAAAAACCTTTATTATGAATAATATTGGTCGCGAAAGCCTACGTGTTAAAATACCCTTCACACTTATCAACATCACACCTGGAATTGTAATCGTAGATACCTCTGTCTGATGTGTTACTCAGCCACCTTGGAACTTTCAGAAGGCCAACTGAAGCCTGACTATGAAAATAAATTGAGGCCCAATGGAAGCCCGAAAACTTTGGTAACTTATTTGAAATTTTTACATCTGCTGCAAAAAAAAAATCCCAAGGGGGTCACTGCAAGATTGTCTAGACATCACGTTGGCAGTCAGAAACAGAGCAACTCTTGAAAGAGTTCCTCAGAACTGTTGACCAATATGAGGGTACTGCACTGTTGGAGTCCTTGCGCTCTGCATGAAGAAAGTATTGGGAAGACGTTACTAACGAATTGTACTTCACTTACTTCAGCCTCAAGCCATGTTGGTTAAACTGGAACCTAGGTGCTTCAAAACCAACAGAACACAGACTGCCAGAAATCCCCAAAAAAGAATGTGGCTTTTCACACCCTGCTGTCTTGTTCAGATAAACAACACATTGATCCAACTACCACAATAACAGACCTAGCAAGACCATATGCTGAAGAAGAAGCAGCCCCCAGGGCCACAAAATCAAAGAAGGCACCGAAATATGATGGCCTATGTCCTGAGTTCCCGAGGTACCTGCGACTATATGGACAACAATGGCTGGCAAACCTCTTCACCGTCATACACTGAATGGGGAAAATCCCAAAAGCATGGAAGCCAAAGTCATTGCCATCCCCACAAAATCTGCAAGACTCGCCCTCCAGCTACCGGGCCAATATTTCTCTTGTCCTGCACCTCCAAGCCTTACTTGATTTCCCCCATTATCAACCCCCAACTGCCTCCCAAACAGTCCGGATTTCAAACTGGCTGTAGCTTCTGCAAACAGAAATTTGCCTTCACCACCCTCATAGAAGCTGCTTTACAGTGTCGGCAGAAAATGGCACAGCCATGATGCTGCTTGGCATCATGGCCTGCTGCTGAAATAGGCCAAAATCATCAGATGCATTCGTTCCTTCAAAGGATAAATAGATAAACAACAACTCTCTCCTGAAGCCCTCTTGTCATGGCTAGCAGACCTCGAAAATTGGCATTAAGCTCCTGAACATATTTCCATCATGCACAAGAATAGAAAAAAAGAATGTGATACTGAAGCCGGATCAAGCTGGGGCCTCATGCTTGGAGTTCCAGGCTGTGATTCTGGAGCGAGTACGTACCCTGCAGGAGGCAGCGGCGGACCTCAGCAGCCTCGTATCTCATGCCGGTGCTAGTCACGAAGTTGAGTGGTATGGACGGTGGGGGCAGCAAAAATTCCTTCTCCTCTCCATTGATTATCACTTTCGATGGACTCCACATCGTATCGGGGATCTAAAGACACAGCAAGCACACACCACTATGTCAATGCGGTACATTTTTTTAATCACTTGTCCGTTTTCGGTTAAAAACACCGATGCATTAGCTTTGCATTCATAAGCTTTGTCCATCTGTCTAGAATGGGGTCAACTCTGATATGATTTAGATTGTTCAAAATTAAAATTAAGAGGCATCTCTGCTGAACCGGGCATTGGGCAGATGGCCCTGAGCCAGCGAAGGAAATTCCACATTCATATTGTAGGGATCAGTCTCTAAACTGCAAACCCACTTTTAATCTTCCCATTGAGTGTTTTATTAATTTTGTAAGGGCAATGGGCTGAGTAAAATCCTGACTGTATTTGAACATGCAACCTTTTCAATTCCATTTTAAGTGCTGTACAAAAATGCCACCCAACAGTACAGTACAGTATATCTTGCTCATAAGCTATCATACAATAGACTGAGTCCATAAACCTATATTTCCACAGCAATGGGTTATGTGTTGGTTGCATTCCCAACTGTAATGCTCTATGCAGGGCTGGTACCTTTATTGAGCCCTTGGTGCCAAAGATGCAGGCCTCATTGGCTAGCATGTATGCCGAGCTGCAGGTGAAGATGCCCATGCGCTTTCCTGAGTACTTAAGCACCACCGTCACAGTCTCATCAACACCTGCCAGACCACGCACAACTAATTAAACTAGAACAACAATGTCCAACACATTGCACAGTGCACATCCGTGAAAGAAAGGACTAAATTGTAATCTTTGGAGGCTTGTGACAAATTTGAGGAGACAATAAAATCCACATTTGATATTCCAGTCTCAAGTAATGCATGCAGGTCAAACACCTGCCAAGATGATCTGTTTGGGTGAAACTCATTACCTCATAACACATTACTTTAGACTGGAAAAACATAGGAGCTACTCGCTGCCACTGATTGTGATGCCAGGTGTGATAACTGATCGATGCCTGAGTGCGGTCCAAGGACGGCTCTCTATTGGTCAACCATATGTATGCGGATGATCTGGTTATTGATGCCCACTCTGAGAAGGAGTTGAACCTTCTACTGCTAAACCTGGAGCATGCTACTCAGATATGGGGCCCCACGATCAGCCCCACAAAAACAATGTACCTGTCTGGGTATTTTATGTCATCAAACGCTCCCCTCCCTCAACTCCCATTGAGTGATGGGACAGTTGTGAAGAGATTGGAGAAGTTTCCATTCATGGGCAGAATGCTTATGACAAGCTCAGGTTTGGCAGCCGAGGTCTCACTCTGAATCAGTCGAGCAGCATTATCGTTTCATTGGCTGCGTAACCCTGTGTGGAAGCTACCTGGCCTGTCACACCATACAAAGCTCCAGCTCTTCTCGGGCCAAAGTCATGCCCTCGCTTATTTATCCTTGTAAGATGTGGAGCACTCTAAAGCAACGTCTGCATCAAGTTTTAAACATTCAGGCAAGCCTGCCTACAATCCATCTTGGGTTTAACCAGATGGATTGTGTGAGGCACTCACAGATCCTTGAAAGATATCGACGAAGTCCCATCAGTGAGCTTATTCGGCAAGTGAGACTGCACCATTGGAAACCTCATTTGCCAGTAACAAAATATGATAATTGGTTGTTTACCCTTTTATCTGGCAACAAAACTGACACCTTTTTTTACAAGGAGTCATGTTTACATTGACCACAATACCTGCGGTCGGAACGCAAACAAAAAACAACTCTGATAATGTATGCACTGTCCTTGAAATTGATTGGTCCACACCCGAGACAGCTTTCTTTAGAGCCTCGTCCCACATGGTGTTGGACCAGAAGACGCCAAAAGGCGCACAACTCAAAGACAATGCACCATCAGAGTATGAGAGCTCGGGTGTAAGCATTTACACCATTGGAAACCTCATTTGCCAGTGCGCCTTTTGGCGTCTTCTGGTCCAACACCATGTGAAACGAGGCTCTAAAGAAAGCTGTCTCTGGTGTGGACCAATCAATTTCAAGGACAGTGCATACATTATCAGAGTTTTGTTTGCGTTCCGACCGCAGGTATTGTGGTCAATGTTAACATGACTCCTTGTAAAAAAGGTGTCAGTTTTGTTGCCAGATAAAAGGGTAAAAAAACACTTATCAAGTGAGACTGCGTTTGCTGGGCGATGTAGCCCGCAAGCCCAACCACCACATTCCCAAACAGCTTATCTTTTGGCCGGATAGATGGTGCTCAGCGGGCATGGCACGGGCTAAACAAGAGATGGACTGATATGGTACAGAAAAATGTTGAGTTGATTGGACTTGCCGATGACTGGTACCAGCATTGTCAAGATCGGCCTCTCTGGAAGAGGTTCGTGAAGCACGCTGCTGAGGAGTTGGAGGCGGTTGCTCTCCAGCAACGGAGGGCAGAGGAGTGGCGCTCACAACAATAAGCAGAGCGCCAGGTGGCTAAAACGCAGAAAGTTGGCATAGTAGGAAGCACAGTTGGTGGATCTGCCAGTCATCTCAGTCCACCCGTGGCACCTGGGTCCATTCCGTGACTTCCTGCCAGCGGGACTTCGACACTTCATGTGACATGAAATTGTACCTAGCATGGCACAAGCGCCGTGATGACATCACCGGTACTTAGTGGCAATTGGCGGTTGTTCTTATAGAGCCAAGCACCTATTGGGAGCTTTAGTGGCATGTATCTATTTTTTTTTCAGGAATATATTATTGTTCTGGCCTGAAGTAGCCTGTGTGTTTACAGTATTTGTGCTTGGGGCCCAGGATTAGTTTAACTATCATTCAGGGATCATCATCTCAGCAGAATCAGGTGGTGATAAAATGCAGTTTGCACTTTCTTTTAGCAAATTAATTGATTAGGAATTGTAAGCTTTTTTCAATGACCATTTTGTGTAAGAGGCATAACCATTAACACCGTATTGTGATGTCTGTAAATAGTTTTACAATGACAGTGAATCTGTAATAATAAAAAGTGTGAATGAGATCCTGATTGGAAAATTTGGCTATCAGTGTCCCAGAGAAGACGTCTTTTTCTAAACTGAGAACACACACGCAAAACTTCACACGGACAGCTCAGAATCCTGTGTTGTTGTTGTTGTTGTTTTTTTTGCACACACTTCAGTGTCCTGCAGGTGAGTGTCTCGCACGTGATGCATCGTGTACAAATCTTATTTACAGTAAGCGGCACAAACCGTTTGCGTTGAGAAATCCGGAGGCGTGTATGGACAGTGGGCGCTCGGCTCCGAACGCCATGGAGATGAACTGCAGGCAGTAGCAGCCGATGTCGAGTAGGGCTCCTCCGCCCAGCTCGGGTTCCACCACGCGACGCACGTTCAACATCTTGACCCCGAACTCCGTGCGTACCACTTGCACGTCTCCCACCTGGCCCTCCGCCAGCGCTGCCCGCACCTCATCGTACGCGGGGAAGAAGCGCGACCAGAAGGCCTGGGCGGACAGCATCATGGAGGGGGGGGGTTGCAGGAAGGAGAGTAGAATGGAGGATACGGTCAGGGAGCCACGTGCAATTATGAAATGGTAGGAAATGGATGCAGCAACAGCTCAGCCCTCGTGTGTTATCGTCGCCATGTTACAAATACAACAATACCTCGGAAACCGCGGGAGTAATATTCCTGAAAACCGCGGTTGGCAATACTGAGGGCCTTATGGGAAATAGTGATTTAGGACGCACTTGGCCATGGTCACACTCATCTAAGCCTAACCAAATTCCCTAACATAAAAAACATGTTTAAATAACGTAATTAAAAACAATCAAATGTTCTTTACCTTTAATAGTGAGATTGAAGTCGATGGTGATGACGAGGTAATGGGGGAGGTGGTAAAGTTCTGTGATCTATGTCCACGCCTGTGTTGAGATGGCTGTGGGTTGGGTGCTTTGTGTGGGATTGGAGGGGCGAGCCGGTGTGTTGTGTGTTTGGACGCACACCCACATACCCAACAGGGAGTGAGGTAATTGAGTAACAACTGGATTTGATAATGGAATAATTAAAGGAGTACTCTCTGCCTACATGAAGGGGGCTGAAGGCAGAGCTCAAAAAAGCTCTTAGGGGATGGGTGAGCTGATGCCTTGGCCCTGGCTGAGTAGCTCTCTGCTATATTTTAAGCTGTTTTTCGGTAAAGCCACGTAGATAGAACAAATAATAAAAAATACAGTAAAATCTTGGGTTGTGAGTAACTTGGTCTGCGAGTGTTTTGCAAGACGAGCAAAATTTTTAATATTAATTTGATAAACGAGCGAGGTCTTGCAATACGAGTAGTACGCATACGCTTTGTACTGCTGAGCGTCACGTGGTCACAACTGATATACGAGTGCTTTGATATACGAGTGCTTTGGATTACAAACACGTTTCCGGAACGAATTATGCTCGCAATCCAAGGTTTTACTGTAATAACAATATCACGACGTTTCGATCGCAACACAAGCAATCGTCATCAGGTGAAAAATATATATGCATTCCTGCAGTCACGAAAGCTTTACGTCTGTTTTTAGGAAAACGTTGACATTATTTTAAATAAATAATACCTTTTGAATATAGAACGTGCTGTGGCCACTCCAGTGAATTCTTGAGCCTCACCACCTCATAACACAAGGAAGAGGGGCTTGCCCACCCTCGTGGTTTCAGGCTTAGAGGCCATGATTAAGGGCAATATTAATGCAAATAAATAATAATTAAAGGTCAAGAAACGCGGAATAATGCATAGCAATAAGACGTCTACACACTACAAAAATCACTATGTGAGAGAGAGAGAGCGCTGTTGGTGGGAGCTGGGAGATGAGATGGTGCACGGAGGCAACACATATGCGGGTACTTTAAAATCATGAGTGCCGATCGCCGTGCTAAACTACGGACACACAAAACACATACCGCGGTTATAACATTGATATGCCGAAGGAAAACCATGGATACATAAATACCGTAGATGGGAAAATCGCGGTTGGTGAGGAATTGCTGTTTTCAATTTATCTTCAAAGTGTCATGTAAAATTGCAAAACAGCACAAGACGACAGCATGTGTTGCTATACCCACGAACATCGCCAGTGGCAGGAAGTTGGCATTTATGAGCGAGCGAGGATAAGCAATGATGAGGTGGGAGCATATTCTTGGTTCTTTCGGTAAAGTCACGCAGAAGGGAAACAATAAAATGATAAAAATATAAAACAATAAAATTCTCACGACGTTTAGACTGCAACACAAGCAATCGTCATCAGGTGTGAAAAACCCACAGCAAGAAAATTTATTTGCCACTTTTTTTTCTTCAAATTTTCTGACTGTGGTTTTCACACCTGACGATGACTGCTTGTGTTGCAGCCGAAACGTCTTTGAGATATTTTATTGTTTTATATATATATTTGATTATCATTTTATTGTTAACCCTTCTACGCGGTGACTTTTACCCGAAAGAACCAAGCATGTGAATCCCCGCAGCCACGAACGCTTGAAATCGAGGTGGCTGCAGTTGGTGTTGAGCACCTCCATGAGGAAGCGGCGTGTGCTGCGTGCCGTGGCGGTGAGCTCCTTCGTCTGCGCCAGGGTCATGGTGAGCGGTTTCTCACACATCACATGTTTTCCCGCACGCAGCATCATCAAGGTCAGAGGGGAGTGCTGTGGGTGGATGGCGCCCACGTACACGACATCTACAGGAGGCATTGGACACACGGCGCACTAGTGTCACACGTGGCACGCGGATTCAGGCGAGCGCAGCTTCCGTGCAAGTTATTTGGATAAAGGTAAATCTATCCTTTAATCTGTCTATGCAGTGAAGATGTATGTACAGAAAAGCACTGCGTGTATCTGCGTCCAGAGCAGTGGCACAGCGAATGATAGTGCTGTATGTTGCACACTCGAATGAAGGACTTTGCTGGGCAGGTGCTCCAAATCGAGGGCAAACACATTTATTGTGTTCTTGGTTCTTTCGGTAAAGTCACGTTAAGGGGAAACAATAAAATAATAAAACATATATAAAGCAATAAAATATTAATCACTGCAGTCACGAAAGCTTTAAATCAGAACATTTATTGTGGTTAATCTGTGGCGTCACGCAGCAATTTTTGAACCGATTCACCATTAGCCATGTAACTGGTGTTCAAGTCCGGTTAATCAATCAGTTTTCTCTAAAACCCACTTCGACTACTGATACACCATCGTTGTCTTTGACAATAACCTTTGCACTTCACTATTCGAATATTACTTTAATCCTAAGCTGTATGTCTATCTATACCATCCACTTATATCGGTATCTTACACCCATTATCTGTACTGTATGTGTACAGTATACATACTATACTTGTCACCATTGTACAACTTACTACTATAAATGTGTTCTAGTCTCAATAGCATTGCAAATAGTCATACTCTGGGTGCATGGGCATGGTTATAGAATAAACAGTATTAGGGTTAGATAATTAAGAACTACAAGTATTAACTACAGTACGTCATCCTTTTCAATACAAAGTGCTAAAACCCCTCCAATTGAATGTACCACAAACTAACAATTCAAAGCCAAGCTTGAAGTCTAGAACAAATCGAGAACAAGTCTAGAACGATCAAAAACAACCTTTGGGTCCTTTAGCTTGCAACAGCACGTGGTGTCACACACAGCAATCCTTGAACCGAGTCGCCATTAACCACGTGATTGGTGTCCACGTGCGGCTATTCAATAACCCTGCCAGCCACCCACAGGCCCAACTCAGTCATCACATGCTGCTGTACACACGTGCATTGATGCACTGCACAGCACATCAGGACTTTCACAGAACCGCACTTTACTCCCTTGCTGCACGAGGAAATAATTAAAAGACTGGTCCCTTCGTAATGTGCCACGTGTATTATTAAATTAATGACCCAAGATTGATATCCAGCAAGGGATTAACACCAGTGGTGCATGGTATCAACCGAGACAAACTCGCCATTAACCGAGTGCCTGCTGCCATGTGTAAATCCCAGCAGTACCAGTGGGAGACAAAAGGTTCACTCAAAGCCCCTCGTCTCCTTACCCATGTCGGGGTCGGCTGCCAGCTCTTCATAGGAGCCATATGCGCGTGCTATGCCATGCCGTGTCGCAAACTCCTGCGCGCGCTTCTTGTCACGAGCAGCCACAGCCACCACCTGCAGGGAGATGGGGGCGACAGGGCAGCAGTGATGGCGTTGGGGGTTATTGTCATGCTTGCGTTTGGGAAAGGGGCTTATTTTTTTCCCTTAATTGCTTCTGACTTGGGAGTTTTGAGTCAATATTATATCGATGTTTTGTGATTTGAAGCTAATGTAGTTCATATTTGATATGTTATACCATGTGTTTGTTATATAATGCATGCATTCAGCATTTGCACGTTGAATTAGTAACCCATCGCCATAGGCACCGTAATGTGCATTCAGTTTCAACTTGGATCATCATTGCCCATGTTCAGAGTGAAAATGTCAAGAGCTCATCACAGCCAATGCAACGGTCGTCATCAGGTGTGAAAAGCAACGGCAAGAAACATTTGAAAGAAGTGTCGGTTCGCATTAATTTATTTATTTTTAAACGGTGTATTTCTTCTTTAAAATGTTTCTTGCCGTTGGTTTTCACACCTGACGACGACCGTTTGTGTTATGGTCGAAACGTCGTGAGAATTTTCATTGTTTTATATATTTTATTATTTTATTGCTTCCCTTCAACGTGACTTTACCGAAAGAGCTAAGAATATGAATTACTGCAGTCACGAAAGCTTTAAATAAAAATTTAGTCCCTATTCTGTCCTGCACATGTGGCTCCTATTACAACCTCCCCTTCCTGATTTACATGTACACCCACATTTATTTTCACATTCTACCAAGAACTTCAAGGTTGCTTCCCCTATCCTATTAAATATATAGTATCCTCGACATGCACCTGTTTTCAGAGCTCAGAAGATAACGTATTCAAGTCAGTTTCTCAGAACTGTCGAGTAAAAGGGACATTCCTTGTACATCAACAGATATTTTTGGACAATAACGTTTACCCACACTACACCACCACTTCTGCATCTTCCGATTATCCATGGATTTTTGTGCGCATGGCGAATTGATTAGAAAATTATTCTGATTCACTTTATTGTAATGATAAAAAGACTTTGATATATATTTTTTGAAAGGATAACATAAAACAATTTAAAAGTTCTCTCATCCATGAATGTTGCTTGTCTGAACAGTCTTCCCAGGCAGTCATAGATAAGATGTTAACATTTTTTAAATTAATGTTGAAATCACCCTGGTGCAGTGAAAACAAATGCACTTGATTATGCGTGATATAGAATGCATACACCACTTCACCTGTACCTTTCTTGCATTGAAGAAAGATTTCTAGCCATTTTTCGATTTAAAGCTTTCGTGACTGCAATGATTCATCTTCTTTGGTTCTTTCGGTAAGGTCACGTAGAATGAGAATAAAATAATAAATTGATAAAATAAAATAACACAATAACAAGAATATTATAACAAGAATATTATTGTGTTATTTTATTTTATCAATGTATTATTTTGTTCTCATTCTACGTGACTTTACTGAAAGAACCAAAGAAGATTTCTAGCCATTATTCTGCTACATTTCGACCATTATTCTGCCACATTTTGGGAGAACAAAAGGCCGATTATGCACAATGTCAGCCCGATTTCCACTTTTTGCTCTTCAAGTTCCAGGTCCTTGCATATACGAGGGGATTGGTGCACATTAAGCTAGGCAGCAGGATTCTACAGTGATTGAAGGGGTGAAGAAGGGGAGCCGTGGAAAATGTACTTTCACCCAATGGCGGAGCCAGGATTTTCAGGTAGGGGGGGCAACCCCTCCAGTAATGAAAAATGATAGAGGAGTTGTTAGTAAGTAAGGACTTGTCTTTTGCGTTTTATTCAACGCGTGTGCGGCGATGGCGCAAACATCGATGGAGGGTCGAATTCGAACCGCGTTGTGTGATCGGCATCGCGCTCGCTGAAGGGGAATGCCTTTAGGGAAATCGTGTACTATATACACAACTAAGCACAATTCTGTGAGTCACTTATAACTGCTTAGCCGTTACTTATTGCCAATTATGGACTCAGACTATTGTCCTATAAACTCATAGAGTCCCTGGCACGTAATAATATGCTACACAGTGGCAGTGGGGGTCGCAAAATGCCGATTTATTACTAACTAGCTTTACTACCCGGCTTCGCCCGGGACTTGGATTTACCACGCCCGGCCGCCTTTGTCTCCCCAGTGGCGATGTTCACACACCACAGCAGTGACTCGTTTGAGGCTGAGTCGACCTAGGGGAGGCCCAAGACCGGTTCAAATAATCGTCACCGGTGGTGACCGTGAGCGGGATTCGAACTCGGGTGGCCGGGTTCGTAGCGCAGCGTAGCGCTAACCACTACACTACCGCTCCCCCCACACACACACAGCGCGCTAACCACTACACTACCGCTCCCCCCACACACACACACGCGCGCGTCCAAAGGTACACATACACGTGCTTGCTGCAGACACACACAACTTTCAGGGTGCGTACGGCAGTAAACGACTCAAATAATAAACCAATGCTGCGCGAAGAACGCCTTAGACCTGCAACACATTTGTATGGCACTTTACTCGCGGAGGGTTGGGGGGGGGGGTGCGTGACGTCAGCAGGCACACTGCGTGACGCTTCCGCATGCGGGTGACATCACAGATGCGACGTCACAGCTCACTTGCAGTGCAAAATATGTCCATTATTGCGCCCCCCCCAAAAAAAACAGATACAAAAGTGTATTTTTATAAGTTTTGCATGGTGTACAGTCTGGAAACTACCCACATGCCAAATTTCAAGTTTGTTGCATGTCGGGAAGTATGCTAAACATTTCGAACGGACACACATATTCACAAATTTCCCTTTTTATTACTAATAAACCCCAATGATCCGATCGAAATTAGGGATTTCGATCGGATCATTGGGGGGGCACGAGCCACCCAACCCCCCCCCCCCCCCCCCCCCCCCCCACTGGCTCCGCCACTGCTTTCACCCCTGTGAGAGTATTTATCCTTGGTAGTCACCCTGCTGTATATACATTGCGTGCCGTGGAGACTTTTGCCATCACTGACTGCCGCAACAAGTTCGATGACTATATCTTCGGCAGAGCAGTCACAGTGGAAAGTGACCACAAACCAATGAAGTCTATTTTCAAGAAGCCCTCACTCTTGGTCCCGATGAGGCTCCAGTCAAGGCTGCCCCAACTGCAGCCTTACAATTTGTCAGTGGCCTACAAGCCAGGAACAGAGCTTCCAATCAGTGATGCGCTCAGTTGGGCAGACCTACCAGAAGCAGTGGCGGACATCGAGATAGCGCTCATCAACATGATTGACTATGTCACAGTAACCCCATCCTACTACACCAACAAAGCACAGCCCAGGAGATGAATGAGCTGATACTCAAGGGGGTGGCCTGACACGAAGTCGGAAATGTCCCACACCATCTGAGAATTCTGGCCCTTCCATGACAAGCTGTCTGTCTATGACAGAATAATCTGTCTAGACAGAATAATCTATAAGGGCATGAAAATTGTAGTGCCACCCTCAGTAACGATGCCCATGTGAAAGCAGATATATGCCTCGCACCTGGGGACAGTAAAGTTCAAGTTACAGGCCAGAGAAGCTCTGTTTTGGCCAGGGATGATGACCCAGAGAGAGGCCGGTGTCAGAAATTGTCCAGAGTGCACTGAGTTCCACTGAACAGCAGCATGAAACACCATGATCGACAAAGACACCTGACCTGCCATGGGTGAAAGTAGCAACATACCTTTTTGAGTGAGAAGGCCAGCATGACCTCGTAACCGTCAACTACTGCTCAACGTTCATAGACGTGGACCACCTAGACAGCCTCACGTCAACTGCCACCATCAATGCTCTGAAAGCCTAATTGAACAGCCAAAAAGTCTGCTAAGTCTGTGACTTAGCAGACTGTGACTTAGAAGACTTGCGCCACAGGCCCGACTGAGCAAAAGAAAAACGGAGAATGCATCATGACCGGAGGAGCGGGAAGGATGTGTAGGTTCTCCCCCATGGGGACCCAGTCCACATGGCACCGTTGCCCAGAGACAAGCGTTGGATGCAGGCAATCGTGGTAGGACACCATGAGTCTCCAAGGTCCTGCATTGTGGAACATGAACAAAACATCCGGAAAAGTAGACGGGACACTGGCCCTCAACTGTGCCACTGGCCCTCGGTTAGCCTCAACCCCAAGTGATCCACGAGTGGTGATGGCACCCGACAGCGTACCTGCACCAACCCCGCCAGTTGAACACCAGACTCCGGTTAAGGACACTCGACCTGTTGGAAGCCCAGGCGGGTGTTTACCACGATGGCCGTCCTGTGAGACAGGTCCCAATGGTCAGTAGGTATCGAGCCCGTCAGCAGAGGTGATACCAGCAGAATTGCCTTGGCCCCCAAACCATCGAGGCTCCCATGACCAAGGTCAAGAGCTGGACGGCCAGTGAACAGGCCTCGCCACCTCAGGCACGACATACGGTAAAATAATCCCCCCTTTTGAGGTACCAACGGCATTACAGAGTAGTCCACCCCTATTCTTCCACACTGCCATTCACGTGTTGCTTACAGCACACATTCACACTCAAGAACTGGAATACAGTTTTAAATGTAAAGTAAAATTTTATAAATGGAAGCAATACAATGGTGTTTTCTCATTAAAACTCGGTTACTTAGGGGTGCAATGTTTAAAGTAGTTTGTTGGTAACTATTGAAATGTAACTGTGTTGTTCATTACGATGAAGTTGTCTTGTAAGAAATAGAGATGTATAACGTATACCATGTGATGATGTGACGATGAGGGAGCAGAGCCAGTGGAGAGAGCGGGAGAGCAGAGTGCGGGAGAGGTGTGAAAATAAAAAATCGGTGCTAATGACACGTGGTGCGTGCCTTTATAGCTCAAGCTAAGACACCATCCATTACAGCTAGGTGAGGTACTTTTACAGTTGAATGAGTAGTGACTAAGCTAGAAATGAATTCCACCCCCGGACACAAGCACGTCAATTGTGTTAATGGGGGAGATTAGGGAGAGAGGGATTAGGGAGGGAGATTAGCATGAATGAGCTTTTGTCGCCGAAATTGATTTTTCGAAGACGGA